AAAAAAAAAAAAAAAAAAAAAAAAGAGGAAAAGAAAAGAAAATAATGGAGGAAAGGAAATCATACTCGTGAATACGGGTTGATGGGCTGGCCGTTGATATCCAGATAATCTTCCGCCAACACCTTGGGGCCCTTGTCGATCGCACGTCCGGAACCATCGAAGACACGACCCAGCATATCCTCGGATACCCCGAGCTTCAGACTGTGGCCGGTGAACTCGACTTTCGTCTGAGAACAATCAAAGAATCAGTATATGCAGATAGGCAGATGTGGTGAGGGAGAAAATAATACCTTCTTGACATCGATACCGGAAGTGCCTTCGAACACCTACAACTGGTCAACCTCCACCATCCAGCTCCTAAGACAATATATATATATATATATATAATATATATCTGTATCTATACCTGAACCACAGCTCTGTTTCCTGTATAAAAGAAAATAACATATCAGCCCAAATTTCGTCATCAACGCGGTTCGGGTAACGTTACCTCGAGCTTCGAGGACCTGGCCCGATCGTTCTGTGCCGTCGGGGAGAGACAGGGAGACGATCTCATTGTATCTGGGGAATTTGACCTAGAGAAGATGAAGAAAAAGAAGAAGAGACAAAGATTAGCTGATTGATTCGACTAGACACCGTATTCGCAAGGCAGTACTCACGTTATCCAGGACGACTAGCGGTCCGTTAATACCGCCAATGGTGTTGTACCTCAGACGAGGCTTGATGGAGGTCATTCGGGGGTCAATGAACTCGGACGCCATGCTGGACGAGGTGCCAACCACGGGGGAAGAGATGGGATGAGGCGTGGAGGGGGAGGAAAGAGGAAAGAGGAAAGAAGAAAGACGGTGCTGGCGACAGACAGACAGGGGCGGTTGGCGGTCGCTTCGGGCCAACTAGTTGGGTTGGTTCGAGATAATCCGATTGCTTTGCTGGTTGCTTGTCCCGCTATCGACAGCTCCAGCTTTGGCGGTGACCGTGCACGTGATATCAGATAAGCTGCACTACTGCACTGCTAGAGCCAAGCAGTACTGGCAGTAGTATAGCCTACAACAGATAGAAGAGAATAATAAGGTAAGGATGGTCTGTAGGATATGATTGGTATAATGATACAGTAAGATACATCATGCCGCGTCCGGCGCTAGTGAGCAGAATAATCATATTTCTCGTAAACCCTCGCATAACCGTGAGCAGGAGGAGGCTTGTCAAGTTGTCAAACGCCCGATCATTTCCCCTTCCTTTCCTTATCGGAATACTCGTCCACCTTGGCCATGGAAAGTTTGTTGGGCGTGTTCAGATAGTTGGGGTTGGCGGTGCGTGAGGGTTTCTTCTTGTTCTTCTTCAGCTTCTTGCGGGCCACCATGACAGGGACCGACGAGTTGGTGACCAGGTAGTTTGAGAATGATCCTAGAAGGATGCTGAGATAACGGGAATTGTTAGACATAGCTGGTAACTAAGCTTGTAAAGGCCAGGAGAAGACTCACCCCTTGAACGCACTTCGGCCTCGTGCCCCGACGATGACCAGCGTGGGCTCCAGTCCGTCAATCTGTAGTCGCAAAGTCAGCAGATAATCTTGCTAGTCTTAGAGCTCAATGTTAAGACGGAAAAAGAGAGAAAAAAAAAAAAAAAAAAAAAACCAACCGCTTCAGTGATCATGTTTTTCGGGTTCTTGCAATGGATCACCTCCACTGCGACGCGGATCTGGAGGGTGGTCTTCCGCAACAGCCGCACACAGGTTTGCGAGATGGATTCGACGGCATGGGATCGCTCCAATTCGGCTTTGGACATGATCTTGGTGTCTACAGAGCTCGATCGGCTGTCTGTCCCCGACCCCAGGCGAGCAAACAGCGCCCGGGTCAAAGGAGTGGCCGCTTCGGCCTGTGACTTGTTGGTCGTCTCCTCCGTCTGGGATCCGACCACTGCGGTAGTGTCGTGGATGAGTCTGGTCGGCGTGGCCGGGTCGACATCTCGGCTCCCCGAAGCGTTCTCATCGGACACTGCAAAAACGGCGAACATGGTGTCTCCATCGCGGAGAATCCCCCCGATGGTCCATTCCAGGGCATAGACAGACTCCTCGCTCAGATCGGTGGCCACGAGGTATTTGCGCTGGCGGCGACGGCCCTCCTCGGCCTCGTTCTTGATACTGGCAAAGTCGCCTCGGATAATGGTCCGAATCGCCCGGTGCGGGATGGAATGGTCGATCGCGGACATCTGGATGCTGAGCTTCTGCGCCCGCGCAATATCCGACAGCTCTGCCTCGTCGTCGGAGCCAAAAGGCGTCCCGATTGCAGAAGCCGTATTGTCAAAGCTCGTCCGCGGGTGGACATCTGATTTCTTCACCGGCTTGTGAGGCTCGGGGGGGAGGAGAGACTTGACGTGATATCGACCTGCCACGGTCTGGTGTTCCTGTTCCGCGATCTGATCTGGTCTGGCAGTTTCGACCGAATCAGCATCATCGTCGTGTTCGTCTGCTTCTTCCTCTTTTACTTGTGTATTGTCTTCAGTGTTATGATCATTGCCTTGGGTGGCCGCCGACGGTTCAGCCGTCGATTTCTTTCGCCCTCGGGTCGGAGATCTTCCCCCCTCCTCATCACTAGACGTCGATTCTTCCACCTCATCTTCGTCACTCGAATCGATGGGATTATTCTCGCTGTCAAAGAGATCCTTGGCTAGACGTTCATCGCCCCGGGTGGTGGCGTTGGCAGCAGCAGCAACTGCAGCTGGAACCCCGCCATCATCCTCGGACGCCCGGTTGGCTTTGGACAGCGCGGCCAGGCTGCCGGCCGATTTGGCCAGCTCATCGTCAGCAAAGTGCCTGTATGCATTGTCCATATCAATTAATTTTCCTTGGTCAGTCACCAGCTTTCCTGACCGGGAGGCGAGGTTGAACGGAGAGCTGAGCCAGCGGTTCCTGGATGCCGATCGCCCGATGCGGGCGGTCGTACTGGGGTCGGCAGACATTCCCCGCGTGCTGGTGGACGTGCGTCCTCCGGCGTCTCTGCCCCTGGCAAATGGCCCCTTGAGATCGAGACCGGCCATCCTCGATACCATGGAACTCTTGCTTGGGCGCGCTGGCAGCGCATCGCGGCTCGGGACGCTGGGTGGCATGGGGCCAGCAGTCGTAGTATCCGTAAACTGGGGGTGCAGATCGGGTCTTGCAAAGGGTTTCTTCTCCCTGGAAAGCCTGTAATCTGTGTTGTCGGACGACCTGCGCGGCGGGTGGTCTGCGACGCCCACAAAGAGGAGTGTTTTGTTTTTTCTCTCCTTCTCCTTCTTCTCCTTCTTCTTCTTCCTTCGCGTGTCGTTCTGAATAGGGGGGCACAACACACCGACAGCGGGAGTAGGCTCAATCAAACTTCGCACGGGAGGATCTCGCCCTGTCGACAGGATCGTCCCAGCTCGACTATTAATCCCAGCAACCGACCCATCTCGGCCGGGCAGCGGCGTGCTTGGGCAGGCCTCTAGCAGACTCCGCACTGGAGTGACTATTGGGCTGGTCGCCCGCTTACTGCTGCCAGCAGGGGGCGTGGGGCGCGACGAGACCGTGGCACTGGGGGCTGCCAAACGGCCTTCTAGAAGGTCCACGACCTCGCGACGGTCTTCCTCCAGGGCGTCCTCCTGCGACAGCCGCACACGCCGGCGTCTTGACATGCCCATCGCGTGGTTCCGCTTGCGGGCGGCTTGGGACGGGATGTGGAGATGACGGTGTGGGCTCAGAGCCAGAACGGTGGAGCTGGGAGACAGGATGAGACGGTTTGCGAGCTGCCTTGAGGCTGTGATGGTCAGTCTCTTGGTGGTGCTCGAGCGGTCGGGGATGGACTGGGATGGACGCACCTTGGAGACGGTTGGGGTCTTCTGCTGGTGGGCAGGGGAGGGAAGGAAGGGAAAGGAAGCTGCAGGGCACAACAGGCTGCTTTGAAGAAAGGCATTCTGTTTGCTTTGATTACAGTGAATAGGAGCTGCTTGCAATATAACTACTAATTACTTACTATATGCCTAACTAATTGTTGAAAGGGAGAGAGGGAAAAAAAATCATATTATGCTAAGCTTATGCACGCTGTCCTAAACACCGTCCCAGGCCGTTTGGAAACCTTGCTCTCTAGAGACAAAAAAAATATGACAACCAGGAATAAGAAGAAAACTTGAGCAGTCAGGCCTTACTCTTCTTCTTTGATTTCCTCGCGGCAACCGCCTCAAAGGCCTCCTCGGGAGGCTCGCCATCCAGGTCTGCCCTGCGCTTCTTGCCTGGACGCGAGTACTTTGCCTCGAGCTGGTCGAGGAAATTGGCTCCCCGACTCTTCTGTCGCTGCTGGATCAAGGCGGCCAGGTCGTTCATGTTGGACTGCGCGGACTGCTTCTTCGAGGCGTTTTTCTTCTTTCGCTTGCCCTGGTCATCCAGTTCCTTGGCCGCTTCTTCTGCCTCCTTGGCCTCCTCGCGTGCTCTTTTCAAGCGCTGCTGTTTCTTCTTCTCCGACTCCTCGGTATATTTCTTCCACCCTTTCACTCTTCCCTCAGCGATAGCCTGGTCGATGATGGCGCGGAACCGCTCGTCGTCGTCGAGCACACTGCTGAGCAAGACACTGTCGTAGATCCGGTCCATGTCGCCGTGGAACTGCTCGTACGCCGCAAGCAGGTCGGTTGTCTCTTCCTCCGAGTGCTGGTACTCGTGCTTGATCTTATCGATGGCCCCCGTGTCCACCATGCTGGAGAACTGCTCCCGGTAAAAGTCCATCCAGTCAAAGTCATCATCCTCGAGCCCCAGCACCTCCTCCGTGCTTCCTGTCAGGTCGTATCGGCGGCGGCGGCGCTCATCGGACAGGATTGCGTACGCGAATGCAATCTCCTGGAACTTCTGGTTTGCTTCATCCTTGGACTCGGGCGTTGCCTTGTCTTGGTCCAATTAGTATCCAATTCGAGGTTAGCTGTCTATAGGTTTCATACCAGGATGATGCCTGAGCGCCTTTTTCCTGTAGGCAGTCTTGATCTCGTCCGGCGTTGCCTTCTCTCCCACGCCCAGGATCTCGTACGGGTCGATCGAGGGGGGGTCCTGCGGTTCCGACATGCTTGATTCTGAAAGAATGCGAGATCTATCGGATAGTAACACGTAAATATCAAAAAAGAAAGAGAATAGATGAATTCTTCAGGTCTGTCCTTCACCAAGTTTCTGCCTCGTCCCGCGCGACGCGAACCAATAATTACCGAGCCGGGTTAGACTCGTCATCGCTCCGCAATTACCTGCACTTTTACCTCAAGTACCTGTCTACACTCTTGTTAACACTAACATCTACTATTCTAAGCTAGATATATCAAAATGACTACGTTCGGCCCCGGGATACAACCCCCCCACACAGATCCTCACACGTTCTACCTGCGCAAATGCCTTGCCCTCGCCGAACGGTCCCCGCCACGCCCGACCAACTTCCGCGTGGGTGCCATCCTCGTCTCACGCAAGACAGACCACCACGACCCCAAGAAAGAAACAGGAGATATCACAGACGACCGGATCCTGTCGAGTGGCTACACGATGGAACTGGCGGGGAACACCCACGCGGAACAGTGCTGTCTGGCGAACTTGGCGGCCGTGCACGGCATTCCCGACGACCGCGTGGCGGAGATTCTTCCCTACGAAGTCGGTCGTAAGCTCGTCATGTATGTGACTATGGAGCCATGTGGGCGTCGGTTATCAGGGAATACGCCGTGCGTGCAGCGGATCGTGGCGACGAGGAACAGCAGCAGCAGCAATGGTGATGGTGATGGTGATGGTTTCAAGAGGCTAGGGATTGAAAAGGTGTATTTCGGGGTGAAAGAACCCGGTACGTTCGTCGGTCAGTCCGAGGGATGTAAGATATTGACCGAGGCGGGTATTGAATGGGAGCTGGTATCAGGGCTGGAACGTGAGATCCTGCAGGTCGCCGTCGCGGGCCATGAGAATCGAGACGAGGAGATCCGCGCAGCGCTGGGGACAGACGTCGATGATATCAGTGTCGAAGAGAGGAGGAGACAGGAGCAGTTGCCGCGGAATCCAAAGAAGCGCATGATGGAGGTGGATTTGACCACTTGATAGTAATATATGACTATGCTACAATGTTATAAAGATACTGTAGTGATCTACCTACTTATGATGGCTGAATGCATGTTCTACTACGGAGTAGCATGGCTAAGTGACTGATATATAGATAAATACCATTCTATAAAAGAACAGTCTGCTATTGAATAAGCATAGAACAGTGGTCAAGTAGAAAGAGTGGTCACGTGATCATCAAACTTCAGGAATCAGCAGTTCTAAACAACATCTCAAGTCTCAACTCAAACCGTTTCGAGCATACAAGCGATAGACGCCAAAATGTCTTCATGGAGACCCCATCGTACCCCGCCTACTGCTTCAAGGCATCCCCCACGCACTTCACCTGGGTGAAGATCTCGGCGTTGGATCTCCAAAACCTCAAACGCGGGATAGGAGGTTCGTTCATTTTCCTTTTGAAGCTCGCTGCGTAGGCTATTTGCTGATTAACTAGTATACTATTATTTAAACCATCCAATACGATATGTCTATCTAGCCGGTCTGATCGTCTCGCGTACTGAAGCACCCTGGCACACGATCCTTACCCTTGACGATTCAAGCGGGGAGACCGCCGAAGTGGTGATAAAGAAGCAGTCCATGCAATCGAATGAAACGGTGGAACAAGTAGAACAGGAAGAGAAGGAACAAGAAGGATACGAAAAGGAAGTAGAAGAAGAGGGAGGAGGAGGAGGAGGAGGAGGAGGAGAAGTTCATATCTCCACGACCGAAAAAAGTATCCTCGACATCTCAAAATTGGAGGTTGGTGTGCTCGTCAAAATCAAGGGGAGCATCACTACCTTCCGTACAATAAACAGAGTGCAGATGGAACGGTTCGAGATCCTGGCCGACACAAACGAGGAGATGTGTTTCCTGCGCGATCGCACGCGGTATTTCGTCGAGGTGCTTTCCGTGCCGTGGAAGTTGAGTGCCGAGGAGGTTGCACAGCTGCATCGCGAGGCAGAACAGGACGAGGAAGAGCTTCAAGCAAAGAGAAAACGGGCGGAGAGGAGGGTCAAGAAACGCGCAAGGCTGGAGGAGAGGGAGAGGAGGGTGATTCTGAAGGCCTACGAGAGACGACAATCATCATACAGCATTATATGACTAGGTACCTATTCATTATACAGCATTATACTACCTAATACAGAAAAATTACATCCTCATCTATAATACTTATAATCGTACCCCCCTCGGTAATACTCCTCATCGTTCACCCACGAGCTCGAGCTCCGCGGGTCGTTGTACCGTCCTTTATCTCGTTCGCGGTCCCGCTCCCGTAGCGCCTCGTACAGCTGTTCCTGGTCGTCCCGGTCGAGGTCGCGGTACCGTCGAGTATCCTCGATAATGTCACCCGCGGTAGTACCAGAGGCAACGGCAGGGATAGCACTAGTGGTTGGCGGGATGGAAGAAGAAGATAAAGAAGATGGCCCGTTGTAGTAGTCTCCCTTGGAAAAGGTCACCGAGCGTCTGCCCTCGTGATCGAGCAGATCGCTCTCCGAATGTCGGTAGTCACCCCCTCCTCCTCCTCCTCCTCCTCCTCCTCCTCCTCCTCCTCGGGCCCGGACGCCAATCGAGGGACTGCGCGGCCGCCCGTGAGCCGTGGATGACCAGTGGTGCGAGGATCCTCCATGACTGTGATGAGGTTCTGACGAGCGGTAGCCAGAGGTGGAACTGGTTCGCTCGTGCGCACGCGCGCCGGTCGGGAGGGAGCTACTGTGTTTGTGGTGCGCGCCGCCGGTGCTAGGGGGTGCTTCATCGTAAACCTTCCCACCCCCAGGTTGGGCTGTGTAGGGCTTTCTCTCGCGCTCGATCGCGATTGGGTGTGCTGCGGGCGTCGCCTCTTCGTCACCGTTGTCGTCGTCGTCGTTGTCTCCTGCAGCAGACCCGGGCCTGGAATGATACTGCCGGCGACCTCTTTCAATGGAAGGCGGCGAACGTTCTGAGCTGAAAGACGTTGCCCGATTATGTTTCGCGGAAGCACCGGCACCAGCAGCACCAGCAGCACCGGCACCGGCACCAAGAGCGGTAGTTGAACTAGAAGGCGGCGGACGATATGCAGCAGCTTTGGCTCGTTCTTCTTCCGTGATGGGCGGCACTTCGATGCTGCAGTGTGTCACCAAATAGTGGTCTAACTTCTCTCGCAAAGCCAGATCAGGCACATCGGGGAACAGGCGGCGAGGCAGCTCCTTGGGGAACCGCTCCTTCCTGTCGTCCGGGTTGTTGATTGGCATTTCCAGGACGGCTCTTTGGAGTCTCTCGTATTCCCGGTCTGGGTGGGCTTGGATCAGTAGCGTCACCCATCTCTCGAACCCACGGGGAGTCAGGCCGGGGATATCAGGCCGCTCGTTCAACTTGGTTTGGACAAGATGATGTTCCGCCTCGACTTCACGGTACAGTCGCGAGATGGAGGAGGTGCGATCATCAAAGATATCTATCTAGTTAGCAGGACATAAAAAGAACAAGAAAAGAAGAAGAAAAAAGAAGTCAGAAGTAACTACCTTCCCATGGATAAGGATCCAAAGCCACGTGATTATCCTTGTAAAACTTTTGCATCTTATCTGGAACGACAACGATCGTGTTACCGGGTGGATAATCCTCAATCTAACTGTATTAGATGGGACCTGTTCAAATGCTAGTCGTTAGATACTGTTGGCTACTTACCATGTGCACCGCGATCCCGCGCAGAAACTGGCCCAACCTCTCCGTCGGCTTTCCCTCGTCAAACAACTTGCCCCAGATACGCTCGAGCGTCGTCATCTCCATGACGGTGACGTCCCTGGACCGTGAGGGCGGTTTCGGCCGGGCATCCTTTTGACTCGCCCCGCTGGCCTGGCTCGAGATCGACCCCCGTCGTTCCGTGCCAGGAGCGGGCGATGGCCTCGGACTTGGACGAGGATTGGTCGAGAATCGACTTGCGGACGGGGTATGAGGCGGGTAGTCTGTTGTGTTCATGGTCGGGAGAGTGAGATCCGGAACCGCTGGTGAAAGCGGCGGTTGCACCCATTGTGACTGTTGTTGATACTGGTATTCTTGTGGTAGTGGTGGTGGTGGCGGCGGCGGCGGCGGCGGCGGCGGCGTTTGCTGCGGCTGTGTCTGGTACTGCTGACCAGGCTGATTACTCTCCAACCCTTGCGCCTTGAGTTGTTGTATGACCGTCGCCGTGATCTGAGACAGCATCTCAGGCGTCAGGTACGCCGGTGTGGCCGTCTTGTAGAATGCCGAGCTAACGGCCTCGTTGATGTTCCCGGGTGGTGGCGGCGGTTGGCCTTGGGGATGGAACGAAGGCTCGGGGGGCGGGCCACTGAAACTCGGCGAGGGAGTCGATAGATGCTGCTGCTGAGACGATGGAGGAGGGTAAGAAGGCATGTTGAGCTGATCGGGCGACTGCTGCGATGGATACGGCGGTGCGAACGGCGCAGGCTGGCTCAGGTTTCCCATCTGGTCGTATGGGTTAGACGGGTGGTAGCCATCGTACGCCATCTTCAGTCTCTTCTCTTCTCGAGGACTCTGTCAATCCTTTTTCCTGCTGCTGAGATGGGAGAAGCGCTCGAGGCGTCAGCTCGTCCTGTTTGTCTCGCGACAAAGGCAGGTGACAGGCAAGATGAGGGGTCGGGCGCCCACGCCCCGTTCGGCCTGTGCAAAGCAGTCAGTACTGATTGATTTGTTTCCTCTACACGCTGGACGGAGTATCTCTCAGTACAATACAGAAATAGGTTCAGTCAAAGCCGAGTTGCGGCCGAAAGTCAAAAAAATATTCTTCCCTATAGATGCAGGCAGAAATACCGGGGGAGGGGGGAATCTGTACTGTCCAGTGATTCTGTAGGGCTGTGTGGACGGGTCGAAACTGTTACGTCATGGGAGATTCGTACTGAGACAGACAGTAAAAAGAAGGCCAGGACGTCATAGATGGCTTTATTATATAGAAATAGCCTGGCAGATTGTAATCTTTAATTATTTTTTATATTATCGACATGGCTACTGTACTCTGTAGTGGTGTTTATTGATAGTTCTGTGGCTGGCCTGTAGACGTCATATAGGTAGCTATCATAAATAAGTACCGTCTAACGTCATGCTTGATTAGTAGCAATAGGTGAGACAAATAGAAAGATAAACGTCTATGCAGCAAGTCTTCTAGATATTTATTTATAGTGACACTTATTGTAGCTTCCCCAGATTACCACAGTCTGGGTACCGCTGGATAGAGAATTGCCATCCATGGTTCTTGGTGGCTGTAATTTACAAGGGGATTTCAGAATATCATCTATTGTATTGCATGTCAATATTGAGGAGAGCTGTCTATTAGCGCGATGCCAGAAGCACGTCAGTCGCTCGCTCTGTACGTCTAGAGGTATCCCTGGAGATCGCCGTCGTCGCCGTCAGCCTCGTCGTCAGTCAGGTCGAGATGTCTGCCGGAAGATTCGGCAATCCGCATGGTGGGGGCTTCTCCCTTTGCGAAACGTTTTCCCTGGGCGATTAGCTAGCACTTCTCCCAAATGCATTGATGGAGATAAAAACTTACTGGAACGCGGGCAAAGCGGGATTCGCGACGAGGAGGAGGAGGCTTGGAAGGACTGGGGTTGACCGACTTGGCGATTTTGGCTCCTTCAACGACAGTGAGAACAGAAGACGCAGGCACGGTGCCAGACTGCGAGCTGACGAGACGATGGGCAACTCCCTGGGAATCGTAGCCGATGAACTCACGGACCGTCTCCTTTGCGACGCTGGCGCTGGCGCTGGCGCTGGGGTTGGCGTTCTCTTTGCCAGCCTTCCCCTGCTTCAAGTTGTCTTTGACCCAGACACCTCCTCCGATTGAGAACTCGTCGAGATTGGCCCGGTTGGTGATGATATTCCGGTCTTCATCGTTGTCATCATCGTCGTCATTGTCGTCATTGTCGTCATTGTCGTCATTGTCGTCATCGTCGTCGTCGTCGTCGACTTCATCTTCGTCATCGGCGGAAACACCCGCGGAGAGGCCAGGAATATATCCATAGGCCCGGCCGTGGATGTTCAGCCTGGAAAATCCATACTCATTGTCGATACGAGTCTAGCCGTTACCCAGGCGGCGTCAGCAGTAGGATCAATTATCTTGGTAAAGTAGCAGAGGGGAGGGTACGCTGGCTGCAGTGGAGTTCCTGGTGGACGGTTCGTTTTCAAGCAGCTTCTTCTCATCCAGCAGGGGGTCCGTTTCCTCGTGACTCTGAACGCAGTTCAAGCACCTCTATGTTCATCAGCAACACTCAACTTATATCTTCAAACTTTTGGTGAAGTTCGAAACGAAGCGAACGTACCGCCGTCACACGGTTAGAGCGCTGAGACTTTGCAAACTCGTCGAGACTCTTGGTCTGGTCACAGATGCTGCAGGTCATCTCGACCGTCTGCCCGCCAACGCAGACGCGACATCTAGCCGTCGAGGTCTGTCCGATGTGAAGGGGCCCGCGAACGACGACGGTGTTGCGCAAGTCGTTGAGCTGCTTCTTCGAGAAGGCGCTCTGCAGTCGGATCTTCTTGCAGGTCGCACATTTGATCTTTTCGGGGATCACGACGTTGTCGAGCCTGTCAGTCAGCTTCTTCCGCTCCTTTTTCAAAAGCTATAGAATATTCCTGCACCCAGTAAAGCACCTACTGTCGTCTGGCAGACTCGCTGTAGCCTCCGGCGTAGGCACTGGGAGCAGGGGGCATCTTTCCAAAAGGCCAGCACACTGGCGTGCGAGATGTTAGGAGTGAGACAAGAGATGCAAAAAGTCGAGTCTGAGCTAAGGGGGAGGATGAAATAAGTCTACTGCAAACGAGTCATCTTGTTGTGCAAACGCCGAGATGGCAAGTATAGTGAGACAGAAACATCCGGGTGGTTCTAAAGAGAGTGGTGAATATCAGTTTCTGGTATTCTGCAACTTCACAGAGTTGATTCATTGATTTAATGAACAATATTAACTATATATTCTTTAGGATACTTCTATCTATAGCAGTTCTATAGTAAATTAAACCATACTCCTGGATTGTAGAGTAGTCCAGTCTAGACATATCTACTCTCCACCTAGATATAGTAACAGCTTCTGGGATACTCTGGATATTTGTACTCAAGCATCAAACTACCTCCATCGGGAATTAAAGACATTTATGTCTTCCACTCGCTATAGCTATAGTATATAGTATATACTTGGACATCTATGTCTGTCCACTCGCTGCCGTATAGACTGGCAGTCAGAAGTATACATAGAATAAATAGAAATAATCAAGTATAACACCAGTGACTATTAGAATATACCAGCAGATTGACCCATCTACTAGATATAAATACACTGATTCAGTAAATCATTCCCTATACTGTCTATAGTCTATACGGTCTATAGTCTAAGTCTATACCAATCATCACGTGACCTAAAACTTCTACTCCTCTTATCAACCAGAATTCCACTCACCACTCACCCCGAGACTGTACACCGTCTTCACAACCCCGCCGCCATCATGTCCGGGAGCATCCCACGATTCTTGATCCCCCGCGGCATGCCCTCGCCAGCGACGTTCCGCGCCCTGTCTCGCCGCAGCGTGGTCTCCGCGCGCCTCTTCTCCAGCTCTCCCCCTGCCCACAATGGACCGCCGCGCGTGCTCGAGAAGCCAGACAAATTCCGCCCTCCGTCGCACGCCTCCCGCCGCGTTGTGCAGACCAAGAACGGGCGTATTGTGAGCCAGCCGCTCAACTACCCTGGTCCGAAGCTATCGGAGAAAGAGATCGCCGAGCGCGAGGCGAAGCAGTATCCGAATACCTTTCCCCCGCCGAATACAGTCATGTTTAAATTCCTGACCAACAAATGGATCCATATTTGGATAGCGATGGTAAGTTTTTGGCCTTGAAAAAAAGAAAAAGAAAAAGAAAAAGAAAAAGAAAAGTTGCTAATGTTCTAAGGGCGTCTTGACATCGCTTGCAACGTTCACCTTCACGACCAACTTCAAACGCTCGTCGCCGTTTGCACACCTCCTCCCACCCTGGTCGGGATTACTCTCGCATCCGATCGACACGATCTCGCAGGCCGTCAGCGTGTTCAAGATGGACGTGCAGCATAATTCGGTGCTCGTCAGGGAACAGAGGCATAAGCGTGTCGAAGACGCAGAGAAGAGGCGGCAATTCCGTGTGGCCCATGGGTTGGAAGAGGGAGATGTACCTGCTACTACTACTGCTGCTGCTGCTGCTGCTGCTGTTGACGACCAGTCGCCTATTGCGCAGGATCAGTCCGAGTTTGTGGATTGGGAGGGGAAGAAGAAGCCAGTCAAGAAGTGGCTAGGCATTTGGTAGACATGTACATTAAATTATTCTTCTCACTTTGTACATTGAATAGATTCATGTATGCACGCTAAACCCCTCTAACCCCTGTAAAACCTCTTCGCCCACCTCCCCGAGAACCAATTGCACCATATTCGCAACGACAGCACGCTTGACACCCCCCCTGCGAGGCCTCCACACGCCGGCAACCTCTTCGTCGCCCGTGGTCGCGTTCTCTGCATCGGGGACGCCCGGCTGCGTCAGACGGGACGGCGGATCAATCGTGCGGATAGAAAGGAGTTTCAGTTTCGGGTTCGGTTTCAGGGCTAGGTTTCCTTCTTCTGCGTTGCTCTTCGCAGAGCTATTCTTCTCGCTTCTCGTCACCGACACGGCCATCACCGCGTCCGCAACCGCGATCTCCTCCCGATTCGGATCGAAGATGATATTCTCCCCCACCGAGACGACAAGCAGGGTGATCGGGGGTGCAACTGTCGTCGAGTGTCTAGGGTATAAGTTCTGGGCGACTTCCCAGTCGTCGTCGAAGAAGGGGTCTTCCTCGCCCTGCGATTTGAGTTTGGGGAGTTTCGTCGAGAGGAGGGCCAGATGCGTGGTGAGCGAGAGGAGGGGGAGGGGGTACGAGAGTGGTTGAGAGAGAAGGAGGACCTAGCACGTTAATATCTATAGAAAAAGCCTTGGGCCGTATCCAATAAAGCTTGAACTTACATCAATGTATAATCTCCAGTGCCAGCGTCGATTAATCACCAACCGACCCTTGAGCCCAGTCTCAGACCCAGTGTCAGTCTCAGTATCTGAATCGACACCCCCCAACGCCTCGCGCATCATCTCAGATAGAAAAACAGGCAAGGCGTCATCATCACGAAACCCCGGGATCTCAACCGAGATCTGAACCCATGAACTCGACCCGGAGAGCTCTCCTGAATCTGTACGCTCCACCTCCGCCTTGACGCCAACGATAGCCTGCGTCCCGTCCGCGAACCCGATGCGCGCGCTCCCGTTCGTGCCTGGGAGGATGCCCGTCTCGGCGCACAGGGGCCGGAACTGCGTTGGGGAGCGGCCGTCTGGGCGGATTGGGGCCCCGGGCAGGGCGAGAGAGGTGTAGAGGTAGGAGAGCTCGGCGGGGGAGAGGTGGGGGGTTTGGGAGGCTGAGGAGGCCTTTTGCATTTCGACTATTTGACTTGTATTAATTTGTATGAATTGGATTTAATTTGTTGATTGAATTGGGAGGATGGAAAATAATTTGATAGTCGGGGATTTGTTGTTCCGCTATCACTATCACTGAGTACTAACGGAGTACAGAGTAGTTACTCTGCCTACCTTACGTATTAACTACAGTTTTATTGATGTAAATTATGCTACACGATAAAAATAGTTACAGGTAGTACGACCAGGTCAGAAGATTGATTAATATATTACAGCCACGAAGATCAACTTCGTGCACGAGTGCATAAGGATTGACAGGCGAGGAGTACCTCAAAAATGTACAGGAAGTGTAGATTCGGTGGACAAAGGAAATGACGACATGTCAGATGGTAATTATATAAGGATGGAAGTATATAGTGTGTAGAGCAGGTATGTATGGGTGTAGAGCAGGTGTAGAGCAGGTGTAGATCAGGTAGATCAGGTAGAGCAGGAAGAGCAGGAAGAGCAGGAAGAGCAGGAAGAGCAGGAAGAGCAGGAAGAGCAGGAGAGCAGGAGAGCAGGAGAGCAGGTATATAAGGCGGAGTGATATATGGTGTATGTGACTGCGACTGGCGCAGAATGCAACGCTGACATACAAAAAAAAAAAGAAAGGTATGAGACAGTAAATATATAAGACAGACACATCTTTTTGACAAAGAAAAAGAACCGCATCTTGCGAGGCCATCGAGATCTATGCAGGGCCTGTAGGGGTATGAAGAGAAAGATAGGAAAGAAAGAAAAAAAAAATCGACACAAAATCCGGGGCTAACCTTCTAAGCCCAACCCTTGTACATGAGATGAAAGAGAGGGGGAAAAAAAAATAAAAACAGCACAATAGCCGAACCTGCACAATAGTCACAAGAGATGAAAGATCCCGTACGCCGTCCTCGGAGATTTCCGATGCGTATGTCTGGCTTGATGGAAGGAGAATAGAGAAAGGGGGGAGGGAGAGAAAGGAAGGCGAGAGGGGAAAAAAGAGAGAGAGAGAGAGGGAGAGAAGATAGCTAGGGGGTACAGCTACCGAAAAGTGGTCCCGGCAAAGACCGCCGACGTTGTAGAGCTCATCTTGGACCACTCGCCCTCCTCGTACGGAGGCGTGGGCCATTGACGGTTGGAGGCGGCGTTGTCGGACTTGGCCTCGACGCGACGGCAGGGCGTGGCGTCGGACTGGCCAAAATAGTCGCCATCGAACTTGGCCGACGGGGAGGGAGTTGGGTACGGGTTTGGGAGTGCCCGCCCGGTCTCGATGTGTGCCAGGTGCCGGGCCGCCCGGTTGGCCGAGTTCAGCACCTCGTCCAGCAGCTCGTCTTCCTCCTCGGGCGTCTCGTACCGGTGGATGGGGTTGGAGGTGATCTGGTGTGTGCGCCGGGTGCGGCTGGAGGGCATGGAACCACTGCCGCCGGTGGATGAGGAGGCGGGGCTTTCGTTCAGGGATCGGATCGACCCTTGCGGCATTGACTGGCGTTTGCTGACCATGACCTCGCCATTCGATGTGAGCTGCACGGGCACGTTGCCCAGCGCCGAGGCGTCGAGAGTGTACTTGACGTTCTGCAGTGCCTTGTCCAGCTCGGACATGTCCGAGCCCTGTTGTTTGGCAGCCTCGAGAATGTTCGCCGAGTCCAACGCCAGCGACGACCGGTTGGACCACGGCATACAGCCGGCGTTGGCCTCCACGTCGTCCGTCATGGCGGCGTTCAATTGGTTCCGGCCTGACAGCCGACGGGCTCGTTTCCGCAGGTGGGAAAAGAAGCTCTCCTTGGCCGCCACGGCGGCATTCGTATTGTTATTGTTGCACAGCCCGTTGAGGGCTCGCTCCGTCTCCTGGCGATGCATCTCGGCGTAGTGGTTGCCGTGTGAGTTGACCGACAGCTGACGGCCGATCTTCTTGTTCGAAGAATCACTGGCATTGGAAGAGACCTCGTTTCCGTAGCTTAGGGTGGAATTTCCCTGGGCGGTCACCGCGTTCGACAGCGGAGACACGGGACGGATGGAGGGAAGAATCGGCATGGGCGCACCGTTTGCCCATGTGGCTCGTTTACTGGTGGTCGATGACTTGGTGGTAGTAGCTGCTGTTGTAGACTTGGACTGTGCCTCAGGAACGGAGAGATTGTTGTAGGAGACCGCGACAGGGGACCGGGATGCTTGCTCGATCTCGACACCGGGGGCGGGGCTCTCGGATCGCCCAATGAGTGAGCGCCGGAACCAGGATGGCTTGGCCGACAGCGTGGTGGGCGAGTCGTTGAGCTCCCTCGACGGGGAGCGGAAGCTCTTGTCCGACTGTTTGCGACCGAGCAGACGGGCGGTGGATGATTTGGGGCGCAGGGGATCGACGGCGTCGGCAAAGTACTCATGATTGAGGGCCTGGGAGGAGGTCGGGCGATTCTTTGGATCCCACATCAGACACCAGGTCACAAAGTTGCTGAATGCCGTAGGCCATTGCGGCGGTTGCAAGATGCTCTCCATGGAGTGCGGCGCCATCTTGGGAAAGGTGAAGCCGAGCTTCTGAGCCAGACGAGACCCTTCTCTCCATTCGCCGCCGCCAATCTTGGCGCCGGACTTGCTGTACCAGTTGCCCGGGCTGCCCATGATCTCGCAGATGCGCCAGACTTGGTCGACCTCGTTGCCGCCGGGGAACAGGGGCTTCAAGGTGGCGATCTCCACGGCCATGGCGCCCACGGCCCACATGTCGACGGGGGCAGAGTACTCGCCGGCGCGCAGGAGAACCTCGGGAGCCCGATACCAGCGGGTTGAGACATAGGTGGTGTAGGGCAGCCGCGAGTGGGTCTCGCGGGCGAGGCCAAAGTCGGCAATCTTGACGGTGTAGGTCGGGGGCGTGGATGGCGGGGTGACGAGGGTGGAGTATCGGCTGAAGGCCGAGTCATTGGGGGCGGAGGTAGAAACCAGGATATTCTCGGGCTTGATGTCGCGGTGGAAGAAGTGGTGGGCATGGATGTGGTCGAGACCGCCGAGGATCTGGAAGAGGATGCTCTTGACATGCTTATTCTCCAGACACTTGTGGTCCCGGGCTTTCATGAGCTGGTACAAGTTCCCATCCATGAATTCCATGCAGATGTGTAGCTTGCGAGAAAGGGGGTCGAGAAAGATGTCGAGGGCGGGGACAAGATGAGGATGTGAGGGGATGGTACGTAGGAAGATGACTTCTCGCAATTCTAAACACGGGGTCAATGAGTCGAATGTCTTCTTCATCGTCTTGATCGCCACCTGTGGGGATATTAGCCATAGCTCCAAGCATATCGTCATAGAAAAAAAAAGTCCAACAGACCATTGTGCCCCTCCGGGCAATATGAGCTCCGGCGGTCCGGACACGGGCCAGAGCCACGCTTCCAAAACTTCCATCACCAACTTCCTTGATCACTTCGAATCGTTCCTCCAACGTCGCCGTCGACGCTTGGGCCGCAGCCCGGGAGGAGTACTCGTAGGCGACAGTCATGGTGAGCAGGGTGTTCTTCCCCCCTCCTGATTTCTGGCCAGCAGAAAGAGAGCAAGAGAATCGGTTGAGACTGGAATGATATCGTCAGTGTCTATTAATAGGGGGGGAGTCTAATCAATGCATCATCGTCTCCCATCAGCAGGTGTCACTCACCTGAAGAGGTAGCTTAGGAAGAATTCACGAAGACTCTGTGTACATTATCTGCAAGAGCTGTATATAATTGGTGTGTCGAGAGAGAGAGAGAGAGAGATTGCATCAAATGGTTGAGAAGAGGGGAAGGAAGAGCAGAAGAAACGACCGAGGGGGGCGGGAGGAGGGGGTCATGTATAAGTTCCAGGAAATAACGAAAGTGGAGGGAGAGGACGATCTGGAAGCACGATGGAAGACCCAGAAATATGGACGTGACCCGTTGTCCGGGAAGCGGAGCCGTTTGGACAATCCTCTAAAATGAATGATCAGAGCTCTTGGGAAGCCCCTGACGGTGACGAGAGGGGGGGGGAAGGAGGCGACTAGGCACTCTTTTGGGGGGAGAGGGGGGGGGGGCGTGGAGACTAGAGCAACAGCAGTCAAGAGGGCGGAGCAAATTGCAAATGGGAGATAGCGTTGACGCGGATCAGAGAGTAAATCTTCTTGACGCTCTGTAGTCTGCTATATAGACGGAGGGCGTGAAGATGACGAAGCTCGAGTGTCAGAGAGAGAGAGAGAGAGAGAGAAAGAGAGAGAAAGACGACGGCGGTGGGACGGCTGAGGAGGAGGGAGGCAGGAAGTCCGGCGGCGGGCGAAGCAGACTAGACGTGGGTTGATGGATGGAAGAGGGAAAACAATTAATGAGCGAAGCGAGGGGAGGCAGGGAGTGCATAGAGGAAAGGTAAAGGAGAGTGATATGAGTTGTTGTGTGTGTGTTTGTGTGAGGGAGTGCGTGTGGTGAGATTCGACGTTGACGGACGGCCGGGACTGGGGGGGGGAGAAAGAGAGTGGCCACTGGCCAGAGGGGCAAAGAGGATGGGATGCGCGAGGAACGCAAGACGCGACGGACAACCAAAGAAGGATAGAGCGTTAAGCTGGATTTATTTTTATTGTATTTATTATTCCTTTCTTATTTTCTCTTTTTCTCTTTTTTAATTTTTTTTTTTTTTAATTTTTTTCCCTTTAATTATTGTTCCTTATTCCTTTTATTTACGCCCCTCTACAGGTCCAACCAGCTCCACCAGGAGGAGTGTGTAATGGCTAGTAAGCTTAGTATGAGTACGGAGTATAGCTAACGGAGTAGTACGGATAGGAGTACTTCATACAGCTATTCACTCCGTACCTAAGTCACAGGTAATCAAAATTATGAGTACAGTCCTTAATTTGAGAGGTCGATTATGGCAATGCATGGCGTGGACTCGATCGGCTTATCTGATGCATGTGCATGCGCAGTGACCTGGTCTTCTGTACTATATACCTAGGTAGGAGGTACTACCTAGTACCCTAGGTAGGTTAGGTAGGTACCTAGTATACTACTACTATCCCAAAACGAAGAAAGGAAAACAGTCTCGCGTGGCCCAATAAAAGAGTGGGTGGTGGAACGGGAGGAGTCTGCGTGGTGAGTGTACCTTGGATGGATGGACAGGGCCGAACCGTTGCCAACGTTGTCAATCATCTACCAGATTCCTCCACACCACCGACTGGTCTACTACATATGCTTCATAGAATATAATTTCTACACTCCATACAGAGTACTAAATACTCATAATCGCTATTATATCTGTTCCTCTGTACATACTTCGTCCAGCTCCGTTGAGACTCGGTCTTCCAGGGGTTGGGCCGCGTTGCCCCTGCACAGTTGCCCGAGACCCTTGGCGATTAGTCATCCAGTACGGTACCGTACGGAGTCATCCAATACTCCGTACCTAACCTCTTAGGTACCAGGTACACCGTACTCCGTACCACCAATAATCCATAATCCAGGTACTCCGTACTCTTGACGTGTCTGGAATAACCTGAGCTATTCGCTACGATGGGCACAAGGACGATTCGTCGAATCCTGTCGGATCCTCGAAAGCGACATGGCCATAACCCCGGTCGACACGTCTCGTCGTCGTGAGTGGCCGCCCCGCGACCAGTGCATGTCCCCAGTTGAATATTGCTTGCCGCGCCTGCTGTGGAACATGGACATGCTGATACTCTGTACCACATAGTATATATTAACTCGACATGCTAGGAGATACATCTAGTAGGAATATTTATTACTTCCTACATCGGAGTACGGAGTACTCCATCCTAATATCGATATTATGTAGTGCTCTAAGAGTACTCGTACTCGTACTAAAGCCAGCAACTAGCAGTGCTGCCTGGTAGTGCTGTACAACTATCACAACTACAGAGTACAGAGTACTAGGTACCTCTATAATTACTAGTAAGTGGAGGTGATCCAACCCAGCGGAACGGAGCAGGGCTTAGTTGCATACAACGCAGTTACTCTGTTTAGTGGCTAACTGTCCATAACTCAACCTCTAACCAAGTTGGTTTTATACTGTCTCGTCGTACGGAGTACTCCGTACAATACATACAGTAAGTACCCAGTATTTGGTCATAGTCTCGATCCCGATCACCGCGTGCATGGCGATCAATCGAGCAGTGAGCACATGACCAGTCATGCTATTGACTATTACTATTACTATTTACTATTTATTACAAATTTACTTGAGGATGAAATTAAACAAAAGTGTCCTCTATACTATGAACCTGATTGTAGTGTAGGTACTATGTAGTGTACCTAGTAGTCTACAAAGTTAATAGGTACTGGATCCATATGTTGACCTACAGCCCCTTTTTGGTGTTCCTGACCGAACCACCGATTGTTTAGGCACACCCGCAGATACGTATTTTACTACTAGGTACCAGGTAGGTACTAAGGTACTCATAATAATAACAGCTAACCAATACCTACTGAACTACTAGGTACCTACCTACTAGGTACTAAACTACTGTAATACTAACAAATACTAACAAATACTAACAAATACTACCACCGGGGAACTCGGAAACTCCACCTGCCAGGCCCGTCCCTTAGTCCGCCGGGAGATGGGCTGCGCCTGAGCTGCCGCCGCTGTTACAGATGAGCCGTTTCTGTTTCTTCAGTTCGTTCAGCAGGGGTAGGAGGAGGTAGGATCCATTGTAACGGGTCGATTCTAGTACATAGGTAGGTACTCCGTACTCCGTACTACATAGGAGTATCATTAATTTTATTATTAGAGTACTACCTTCATTACTCGGATTTGGAATATGGAGTACTCGACTTAAGTCAGCTTGAGTACTAACTAACTACTGACTACAGAGTACTCCGTACGAGTACTAATTATTACCTACTATGGAGATCAACTGCGTAACTTGTACTAGTAGTTCCACACAGTACGGATTGGTCATAAGTAGTCAGTACCTACAGTCTAGACACACGTCGCGTCAGCAGTGGGGAGGAGACACTCTGCCGGGTCCGCCCCAGCCAGATCCTTCCAGGTCTGATGAACATGAACATCATATCATAGTTAACTAATCATGACTTACATACGCGGTTTGGAGCAGGGTACGGAGTACGACAGGGTAATCACTGATCAGTCCTGTACCTGCACTCAGGGTAGATTAGTAGTATCTACGGAGTAGTACGGGTACCCTGGTTATCTGGTAGTATCTGGTATCTAAGGTACGATGGAGTATACCTTAATACTATCTAGGGATTCTGCATGACATGTTTATCACGTCATAGTGACAGCTTCCCTAAATTCAGGAACAATCACATTTAGGTACCTAGTTAACTAGGTAACTATCTACAGTCCGCCTAGGGATGGTGGTCACAAACGGAGTAGAGACCTCTAACAACCGAGTGTGCTCGAATGTACCTAGGTATGAAGGTATAGAGTAACTATACTATATGTTCCACCTGGTACCCATAGACATTCAAAGTCCATATCAGGTTGTGCTAGCAGCTAATCCTTGAGATGAACTAGAGCTAAAGACCTAACAAATTCGACCTTGTCTGATGATGGCAACAATGCCGAATTGCTTGACTCGAATGCGTCGGATATGATTAAAATATTCTTCTCAATCAATGGCAATGCTGTTCTGGCTATGTTAAATCGCCGAACATGAGCGGATATGCAAGTCTGTATCAAGTCAAAGGTGCGCCACCCAGATACCGCGAAGACGTCTCCAATGTCACAATTGAATTTTGGACCTGTCGTAACTTGTGGACACTTTTCTGGAAATTGGCTTGGTGCCGGGCCTGATGCCAGTTGGTGTGCTCTCAGGTAGCTCGACCGATTGTATTTTTGGAGGCTCTGCGATTATCTTGACACCGACTGCAATGATTCGTAACAGGATGTGAGCAAAAGATTTCTCTGTCAATGTCCTAGCTAGGAGGAGACTTGACTTGGTTCAACCTTGACATCCTCATTCACACAGGCCCAATAGCAGGTGATTTCGACCACATGTTCAGCATCGTTGTATGATTTGTTATTTCCGCCAGGCTGCTTGGTGTGCTCTCAGGTTCTACGAAACCTGGATTAGGTCATTAACTGGTACAGGCTGGTTTTGTGGTTTCTTAAAAATAACGATTAGCAAGACCATATCCAGATCGGAGACGGTAGGATCACGAGAAACACAGCTGCAAACAATCACCGAGTATATTCGAACCTGTTCCCCTATTGTATCTAATTCCCCGCTTCAGAGCAGTCTGTGCTATCGAAAAGGCTTGAGGACTCCAAGGTTGATGGATGGAAGGAAAGACAGATGAATCCAGTCAAGGTACCGAGGAGGTAGGTAGTACTGGAGGGGAAAGATAAAGAGAACACAAGTTATGGCGGACAGTCAGGGAAGTCTTTGTTGTAAAACAGAGCTGGGTCGTCACCTGAAAACCCTTTTCTTTCCGTCATGGCATATGTTGGTTAAAGCTCCCCACAAAAATCGCTACAAGGTCAAGACTCTGTCCATATTATTTATTCAAGTCTGATTTAAACCTGGAATATGCCTTCCTCAAAAAATACTCTATCAATATTCACCACCAAAAAATATATGACAAGACGGGGATTCGAACCCCGGTTCCCTCACGAGAAGCAGAAATCTACCTTAGATTTTTAAGGCAAGAGGAATAAATCTCTTGAACCTGCCGCCATAACCAACTCGGCCATCTTGCCAACGAGTGCCGTCTATTCCGCACCTATCGTCTAAGAGTGTAGCCTCCTTGGCCACTGCCTAAGGTTTTCAACGGTTGTTCAATGTTCCGACCAATTGCCATGTTGTCAATTGCTGATTACCAGAGGTACTAGTACCTACTAGGTAGGTACCTAACCTAAGGTTTCTAGTAACCTTCTAGGTACCTAGGTACAAGCCTTGATGTTCTCGGTCCCTGACACCTATGTACCTGGAAACTGACGCTGCTGTACAATAAATACTCTTCTAGAGAATCCGTCGGCCTCCAAGTACAACTCCGGAGTCTGGACTACATAGTACGGGGCAGCTTTACTCCGGACTGATGGAGCCGACGGACATTCTCTTCACTTTATTTCGGGTCAATAGCGAGGCGGGAATTTCCAACCCGGCCCACACCCTGGCCCGGTGAAGGCGATAACCATGAGGTCATCCTGGAGGAGCAGCATTACAACACCAAATCTGTGTATAAGCGAGTCGAAGTAGCGGATTCTACCCAATATCAAACTGCTCATCTAGGATACCGATCGAAAAATAAACCATGTTCAGTGCTGAGTTGTTCCTCGAGAGCTGGCCACAAAACGTCATGATGGCTCCGGTTGTGTCCGTGGGCTGCTGAATCATCTGCACGGTGATTGGCCAACCTCCGGGTCACGGGAGCTGCCGGGCAGACGGTCGCGCATCGTACAAATTCTCTGCCTGCGCGAAAGAAAAACTTGCGATCGATTCCCCTTCTGCCAGTTCAATTCTCTGCTCGAAACCTCCCATTGCCTCCTTCAGGTCCCGTGTGGCTTCAATTCTCTCTGTACAGTTGCATATCTAGATTTCCTGTTCTATACACCACCCTTTTTTAAATCAAAATCACAATGGGCAAGGACTCTTTCGCTCCCGGTAAGCCACCCCTGCGAGTTTGTTGGCTTCAAGCAGAAGACGTCTAGGCATTTTCCCCTCCCATGTGGTAAGTGAGAGTAGCAGATGTGAACAGAGAAATATCCTCTGTTAATCTGGGCTTGGAACTCTTATTCCAGCTTCTCGCCACTGCTATATTACACTACGACCCTTTCTTCCCTCTCATAAGCAAAACCACTCCCTCTTATAAAGAAAAAAAAAAAAAAAACTGCAACCGTCATGACGAGCTGGGACGTCTTCTGCTTGTCCACTTCCCTACTCTGTCGCGAGGCCGAAGTACAAGCGGCCAAGGCTGCGGCGCAGATCGCGACACAGGCTGAAGTCGATGCTAATGGGCTGTTTGGTTCAGGTGACGTTGCTAAGGGCGCCAAGCTCTTCCAGGTAAGACTGATTGCCATATAATTTTTCTTTTGCGAGTGAGAAATGCGGTACTGACGTCCGATTTAAGACTCGTTGCGCTCAGTGCCACACTGTCGAGGCTGGCGGTCCTCACAAGGTCGGCCCCAACCTGCACGGTCTTTTCGGCCGTAGCACCGGTGCCTGTGAGGGCTACGCCTACACCGACGCCAACAAGCAGGCCAATGTCACCTGGGACGAGAACACTCTGGTATGTAACGAAACCGCGGGGGAAGAATAATGATGGGAAACCATAGAGGCTAATGCCCCGTATAGTTCAGCTACCTCGAGAACCCCAAGAAGTTCATCCCCGGTACCAAGATGGCCTTCGGTGGTCTGAAGAAGAACAAGGACAGGAATGACCTGATCTCGTATGCCACTCCATTTCCCCCGCAACCTTGGGTGTTTACAACTGCAGGATCTCTGACTGTTTCTTTTCACAGCTACCTCAAGGAAAACACCAAATAAACACATAACGCCTGATCACGGATAATGTTTGTTCTCGACTTGGACCTCGGATCATCGCGACGCGTCGATTTCTATGCTTGAAAGACATGGCAAGCTATGCGCAGAGAACTCCGCTGGGATAAGACTTGTAATTTTAGCCACCACCAACTTTTCTTTCTTTTTTTTTCTACCTCCCCCCATTCTGTTTTACGGTTCCGGACCCCTCCCATAGACCTGGTCTCTTCTACGCGCTGGAAGATGTTGAATACGATAGATCTCAGGTTTCTTGTCATTGCTCGTGTATGTTAAAAAGAGTGCGTGAGTCGTGGGCGATGTAATAATATCTCCTCTCAGTTATTTTCGAGGATGCAGCATAATTTGTACTCCCGTATTCTGCCGAGTAGACAGTGACTTGAATATATACAGACATGAATACCGGAGAATATGTAGCTGTCAAATATGCACTCCTTGCTGAGCAGCATCTTCTACTACTGCTACTACTACGACTACGACTACTACTACTACGACTACTACTACTACGACTACTACTACTACTACTACTATCATTCATGTTGCGCTGTCATCTCGACAGGCACTTCATGCCTCAGGCAGAACTACATCCACATGACCAGCTCCATTCAACCGGATCTTCCCGAATCAGCTCAGAGCAGACGGTCTGGTCTCTCCCTCCCTGCACAACAAAGACAAGAAAGACGTCCGTCTGCTGGAAGAGTCTCCCTCTTGTCTCGTCAACAAGAGACTCGGGTTCAATTGTCATGACGTCGTCGTATTGTTCGACAGAACCATTCATTCCTTCATTGTTCGCCGCTGGCGGGGTCGGCAGGCGATCCTTGCAGCTCCCAGAGCAGACGCCGCCAGGCAGGGATCAGCCGGGATAGACAGACAGGTTGAGCTGGCCAGCCAGCAGGCGGTGCAGAGCCCGTCGAACGCAGTGCTCGTCATGATTCGGCAGACAAGTCAACAAGCCAGAGGACCGTTTGAGCCGGGGTTGGACTGATTGGATCCAGCAAACGCTGCCCAATAACGCAATGATGGGCCACGGGATCGATTGGACCAGCCACCGCTCTTTGCCGTCTTCTGGAGGAACAAGAACTGAGGATTGACTTGTGGCTGGCGTTCTGGTGGACCCGGGATCACTGCAGTGGATGGACTCATCTCCTATCTGCGAGGGACCGTCTGGGTTACTGGGAGAGGGGGGCGAAACTGGCCCATGGGGTTTGTTCCTCTCTCTTCTTCCCCCCCCCCTCCCCCTTCCTTCACTCTGGCCTGCCCACCTCCCCCTCCTCTGCTCTTGCATCTCCCCACGTAGAGCATCGCATCTGCTTCAAGAGAAAAGAAAAGAGAAGAAAGAAAGAAAAAAAAACACAAGAAGACAAGATTTATCATCTTGCAGAGCGCAGGAGCGACTTGGCTAACATTCTAGTGGGTGAAAACTAGGCATCAACCTGCCAGGCATCCATCCCGTCCTATACTGTTCTCACTGTTGACGCGCTTGAGGCACGTTTTTGTACCCAGACGGTCTTCCCCCCCCTCCTTTCCCTCCCTTCGAGGCATTCCCTGCGCGTGTTTCAAATGTTTCGCATCGTTGCGCGACTTGCCTTGGTCTCTGATTTGCAGGCTGTCGTCCAACTCTCTTGCTGGAACAGAATCGCGGGCGCATAGTCCATCAGTCAATCAATCAATCAATCATCTTACTACTACATACTATACTACTACTTCATTTACTACAAATCTTTTTGTGATCCATCCGATCTTCTGAAGCGCTTCACTTACCTATTCTTGCTAACCTTTCCTCCCCCCCCTCCCCCCTCCTCTTGCCGCCGAAGCTGATCGGGGCGCGTTGGTCCCTGTGGTATTCCCGGTGTTGCAATTACAGCTCCCTCCTGCCGGCTTTCGTCCGTGCGATACGCCGTCCACCATGTTGGACGAGCTGGATAATGTCTTTGATGACCATCCCTCATTAGATGCCTCGCTGGAGGATTTCGCAGAAAACAGCAACGCGCATCGCTCACCACTCTTTGGTCTCCCCTCGCAGCACTCGGGCTTCCGGTCGGAGGACTCGGACGGTGACGCAGACGAGATAACGCCCAATGTCGATCGCTGGTCGCCCCCGGGCTTTCGCAAGTACGATGTTGTGCGTGGCAGTGGATGGTACCGACATCAACCGTACATGCGCAAAGGCGACTCGGGAGATCGGCTGGAGCTCAAGCCCACCGTTGGTCTCAGTCCCTCCCACTCGCGAGAACCCAGCCCGCAGTATGAAGATGCATCGGAGGATACGCCGGGTGCTTCCAACCCGGACACCACCTCGGGCGACATCACCCTCGCCGCAAATGTGCCGCTGCCTGCAGATATGGACTCGCCCATGAAGGGACGCTCTCCGAGCCCGGCCATGATTATTCCCAGAGGCTTGCCTGCTACCGCTGCCGCCGCCGCCGCTACCAACACTGCTACTGAAACAGAAGGACTGGAGTTTGGACCGGAAAATCTTAGTAACTGTAGGCTCCCTTCCTCTCCCCCCCCCATTCATCCGTTATCCCCCTAAAAGATGGACCCCCGTCTCAGCAGATTGGCGCACAATATGCTGACCTGTGCCGTTTCTTCTTTCCCCATCCAAGACATCCGTTTTGCTGTCCGCGCAGAGGTGCAGCACCGCGAACCCTTTGTCGCATTGTTTTCCTACCTGCGATCCAAGTTTGACCGCATCACGAGCACCAAATCCAACACTACCCTGTCCATCCTCATTCTCCTCTTTTCCCTTGTCTTCATGCGCGCATTGTTTCTCCCGGCCTTACCACACTCCATCCCAGACCTGGTGAAGCTGTCGAGCTTTGCGCGCTCGTTCGAGCCGCTCATCTATTACTCGGAGAATGGGGTGCAGCAGATTGGCACGCTGCAGGAGACCGGTGTTGCCGTCTGGGACCTCAGCGAGTCTGTCCGCGGGACCAACATGACCAGCGCGCCGATCATCGTGCGTCAGTTGGATGAGCTTTCCGATTCGCTCAAATCGCTGTCGCTCGAGCTCACGCGCTTCTTCGCCAACGTGGACTCGGACATTGACTCGATCCTCATCGTCATGGACTGGGCGAAGCGCGAGCTCGAACGACTTTCCTCCGAACCGCCCAGCAGCCTTCCCGCCATCATGTTTGATAACTTCCACAACATGCTCTCGCGGCTCGGCGCATTGGAGCGCACCGTCCCCACGGCTAGTGGGAGCGGAGAGAATGGTGGTGGTGGTGGTGGCGGTACCGAGCTGGCGACAACACCAACGACACTAGGCCATGTGGTGACGGCTGTGTTCGGGCCGACGAGTGCGCAGCGTACGCAGGCGACGCTGACGCGGACTTTCAGCGAGTTCCTGTCCGTACTGGAGGAGTCGATCAACAGCGAGCTGACGCACTCGACGGCGCTCTTTGCTCTCTTCGAGTCAATCGACCGGCAGTTTCTCAACCTGCAGCGCACGGTGGTGCGCGAGTCTGATGCGCAGGAGCGCGCCGAGGGCGAGATGCTCTCCTCGCTGTGGACGCGTGTGCTTGGGCCCGACGCCGCCATGGTCCGCAAGTACGAGAAGAACAAGCGCCTGCTAACCAATGTGCGCAACCGCACCGTCGCAAACAAGCACCTCCTCATGGATCATCACGGTCGCCTGCTCACCCTCAAGGTCAACCTGGAGACCCTTCGCCGCAAGCTCGTCAGCCCGCTCGTCCGCCGCAACGACTCCATCAGCCTCGGCCTAGCCGCCGCTTCTTCATCCTCCTCCTCCGCCTCCCTCGACTCATCCGGCCACAACCATCATCATCACCACCACCACATGCTCGGCGCAGTCGAGTCCATCATTGACGGACAAATCAAGGGCCTCGAGGGCACATACGACTACCTGCGCTCTGTCCGAGAAAAGCAAAAGGCTAAGCTGATGGAGATGGTCTACGGGGCCGGCCGCCGCGTGCCATCCATGCCGGAAGATCCATCGAATCACATCGACGCATCGACTGGTGACTCATGATTCATCCTCTCTCTCTCTCTCTCTTTCTCCTCCTCTTCCTCCTCATTATCAAGTCTTCTTTCCCCATCTTTTTTACGCTGGCGTTTCGTCAGGTGGTCAATGTCGTGGCATATGCACAAATGGATACGGGACATGGAGTTGCTACACAGGGGTATTAATTTCATTTCACTTCTAACCCTTCACTACTGTCGTTTCTACCGGGGATTTAAACATTCTGACTTTCTAACACTCAGATACAATGCTCTCGACTCGTGATTTAGCTTGGTTTGGTTTATAGTTTGGTTTGGTTTATAGGTGTAGGCATTACACAGTTGTACTTGATATGCATCATACATGGTTGTTATTAGCTACTACTACTACTACTACTACTACTACTCTTAACTCGTACTTAATGCTGAATCAAATTCATCTAGATAAGTCTAAACATTCGTAAAGTGAAAGGCCGGATTGCCCGGGACGGCCCCCGAAGCCATAGAGGGGAGGGGTATCCTCTCAGCGGAGCCGACGAGCTCACCGGTCTCGTCGCCCTCCTTGACGCGAACGATCTCGACAGCCTCGAGTTTCCGGATCGTCGATTTCAAGCCCGGGGTCATCTCCTGCAAGGCCAGGACCTCGTCGAACTGCAGCTTCTCCGCGAAGACGCGGTCGGGGGCCTCGCCCGAGTCCAGCCGCTTCTTGAGCGTGTGGATGAAGGGCATGGCCTTTTTCATCTCGGGCTTGGCGATCTTGGCCGCCAGGGCCTTGACGTCCAGATCGCCTCCCTTGGCGGTGAACTCCTCCTGCACGATACCGCGGTACCGCTGCTGCCATTCCGGAAAGGCCGCCGCCACGAAGACGGTCAGCTTCTTGCCCGCGTTGGGGTCGAAGGTCGTCTGCTTGCCCTTGGCGAGCTTCTTCATCTGGTTCGCCTCCGCCTGCAGGATGGAGCTGGCCGTGTCCTTGACGTAGGCGGTTGCGGCGGCCAGGACGGCGTCGGGAGCCGGGACGGTCGGGTACAGGGCGTTCTGGATGGTGGTCGGGTGGCCCAGGATCTCCTGCCAGACGGAATCGGCCCAGTGAGGGGCGATCGGGGTGAGGAGCAGGGCCTGCAGCTCGACGTAGCGGCGGGCCAGCTTCTTGTGGATCCCCACGCCCGCAGCGCGGCAGTTCTCGCGGTACCAGTCGCGCGAGGACATGAGGTCGAAGAAGCCGGTCTTGAGCGCCAGCTTGTACATGGTGGCTTCGTAGAGCTTGCGCGTCTCGATCACCAGGGTGTTCAGGTCGTTCTCGAACAGCCGGTCGAAGAAGGAGAGCTCGCCGTCCCGCAGGGTCGAATCCTCCAGGGTCTCCTTGGCCCACTTCTTCAGCTCGTACAGGCGGAGAATGGCTGCGTTGGCCGAACTCTCCTCCAGGTTGGCATCCTCGATCCCGTCGCCGGAATCCGCCAGCGCCAGGCGGGTCGCGTCGGCGCCGAACTTCTCGATCGCCTGGCGGAGGGTCAGGAAGTTGCCCGTGCTCTTGCTCATCTTCTTGCCGTTCAGCATCAGATGGCCGTTGACGCGGAATCCCTGCGGCCAGAAGTTCTCGGGGAACAGCGCCACATGGTGATAGAGCGCAAAGGTGAGATGGTTGTTGATCAGGTCCTTGCCCGAAACCCGCAGATCCAGCGGATACCAGTACGCAAACTCGTTGCGCATGGCAGCCAGATCCTCGGGGAGAATGTCGGTCTGCACGGACTCGGAGCGGTGGAAGATGTAGTCCCACACGTCATCCGTCATCTGCTCCGCCAAGATCGGCTTGCTCGACTGGCCGGGCTGCTTGCCGAAGATGTCGCTGTGCAGGTAGTGGCAGATGGTGTAGTAGGCCATGTAGACGGTGCTGTCCGACAGCGACTCCACCAGCTGGGTGGGATCCCAGGGCAGCTTGGTACCCAGGCCGTAGGAGCGGGTGCAGGCCCACTGGGCGAGCCAGGCGACCGTGCTCTCGAACGCATGCTTGGCTTCCGCGTAGTAGGTGTTCAGCCCGTCCTCGACGTGATCCAGGACCTGCTGGCACCACGCACCATCGCCACCGTTCTCCGCGGTCCCGTACGCAAAGTACCACTGGTCCAGGTAGGCGGCAACACAGTCGTCGCCCGAGCGACTGACGACCTGCCCATCGGGCTCGGCGTACTTGAACGCGTCGCCGGATTCCAGCAGCTGGGCCGTGATCAGGGGCTTGGCGTCTTGCACGGGCGTGCCGGCAAAAGGGCCAAACTTCATGGTACCCTGGTAGAAATCGGTCTTGTACGCAATCTCCTTGGCTTCGGTCAGTTGCTTCACGTCCTTGGGCGAGTTGATCTTGAGCTTCTCGTAAAGGACCTTGGCGCTCAGGTCGCCCATGGGGGTGTCGATGATCGGCACAATCTCCTTGTCCACCCACTCCTTCTTGATTCCGTAGTAGTCGGCCTTCTTGGTGAGTTCCAGGACGGTGGCGTAGTCATCGGGGCTGTTCGAGGGAACGCAGGTGACGACACCCGTGCCCTTGGTGGGCTTGACGGTCTCCATGGGCAGGATATAGACACCTTCGGAGTGGACCGAGAGCGGGGCATGGACGCGGGTGCCGACCAAGTCCGCTCCCACAAAGTCCACCACCTTCGGGTACACGCCCCATTCCGGGAAAATGTTCTGGAAGGCCATGTTCCGGGCCGCGCGGGTGGACATGACAAAGTACTCCTTCTTGCTGGCGGAAACCTCGAAGACGGAATAGGCAACCTTGGGTCCGACGAAACAACAGGTCTGGCCGTACATGGTCTCCGGACGCAGGGTGGCGGGGATGAAGTAGACCTTGGCGTCGGCGGGCAGCTTGTCTCCAATCACCTCCTTGGCGCGCTCCGACCACTCCAGCGTGCGCAGCTTGAGACAGGTGTACTCCTGCGGGGTGACACCTTCGCCGGAGCTGCGGTCATGGTCGAGGCAGGCCTGGCCATCCTTGGGGCTGTAGATTGTATAGCGCTTGCCGAACTTGATCTTGCCGAGGTTGTTCAGGCGGTTCATCTGCCACCGAACAAAGGCGTCGTAGAAGGGGTTCGCGTCGGTGGTGACCATGGACCTCCGCCAGTCGACACGGGCCCCGAACGAGGTCAGATCGTCCCGGCACAGCGGGGGGAAGTACGCCAGCCAGTGCGCCGGGTCGGCGAACTGGTGGATCTCCGTCACGGGCACGCCCAGCGCCAACATGATCTGGAACTGGTACTTGGTCTGGATCGTCTTGGCGGCGGCCTTGCTCTTGCTCCCGCTGAACTTGCCCAGATCCGTCTTGCCATCCTTGGAGGCCGCCGGGGCAGCCGGTTCCTCCTCCTCGTCGTCCCCGGTCTCCTCCACATACCGCTCGAAGTTCTGGCCAAACAGTTCCACCTCGCGGGCGAGCTTATCCGCACAGGCCTTGATGGGCATGCCGGAGCAGTGGAAACCCTGCGGGAACAAGGCCCGCTTGCCCTCCATCCTAGCGAACCCAGTTGCGAACTCTATCAAGTAGCATAGCATTAGTATTGCATTAGAACAACAATCCAACCAAGGTATGCATTATAACAGCAAGTCAAACAAGGTATTCCACCAACCAATCTTCGACGCGGTAAACGCATGACCGGCATGCAAAGTGCCATTCATGTACGGGTATGCCATGGTGCCGAAAAACTTGGGCGGGCGCTGCGAACCGTCCGTAGGCGCATCTTGTTTGAAGACACCAGCCTCGGCCCATTGTTTCTGATACTTCTTCTCGGACTAGAAAAAAAAAACATTCTTAGCGATTCTATTCTATCTCTGTATACAAACATTATCGAGCGGCAAAACTCACGGCAATCAGCTCATCACGCTTCTCTGTCTATCGGATTTTGATTAGCATCAAGCGTAGAGAGAGGAGAGGGGAAGAGGGGAGGGGGGAAAAAGAAGAAACATTTTCCAGCTGCAGAGTACTCTGCTCGGGCTCAGCCGGCCGTGGTCTCAGGGGCACTTCGACGGAGGCCATCGTTGCAATACCTGGCCTCAAAGAACAGCCAAGTATACGTTGGAGAATAGAGAAAGAGAAATGAGGGGGTTGAGAATCTCTTCTTGACTCAGTCTGGAATTTTGTGAATCCGAAGGCGGAGGGGCAAATATTGGCGCTAAGCCTGTTATGGAGTGACACGTGATGCTCTAGATATCATAGAACAATACATTTATTTATTAAATATCATTTTTTTACTTTATATCTATATTATACTGACATAGATCAATAAACCAGTAGTTTAAATAGCAGTGAGTAGTTATATTTACTAGTTACTAGGATGTTCGTAATGTATGTTCTTTGCTCCGAGAAGTCCACGGGTTATAATACATGATATAGAACAACTGTACCTCCGTAGAAGAAAAAAAAGTCGAGTCCCTTCAGCAAGCAAGAAGGGGGAAAGAAAAAAAAAAAAAGAAAATAATAATAAGATAGCCAAAATATGAATTCCTGCGCCTTGTTTCCCATTGTCAAAGTGGTGGATGTGAAAAGATAGACAAAACTCCGTCCGCATGCTTGCTCTATTCGATTTTTCTTTGCCCCCCCCCCCCGGTCATTTCTTCGCTTTCAAATGATGGTTGATGAAGAAAACACGATAGAAATGGTTACCGTTACCCGGTTAGAAGCCAAATCCACTCTGACCATAGGGAGTTGCGCCGTAGGGAGTGGTTGCGCTGGCGCCCCAGGCACTCTGCCCGCCATTGGCATACGCGGTAAACCCGCCATCAATGCCCTCGGGGGGCTCGTAGGCATCGGGGCTCCGCATGCCCATCATATCCTCATCCTCGGCGCCGCCCATGCCGTTCCGGTCGCCTTCGCCAGTCTCGGTAAGGGAGGAGATGACCGTGGCGAGCTTCCGTTGCAAAACAACGATCCCCTGCTGGATGATGGTATCTGGTTCCAGATTGCCGATGCTCTCGACGTCGATGTAGAACTTGTTCGGAACCGCGTCGTAATCGAAGGATTCGTCGGGGGCGGGGGCAGCCTCCCAGGCAGCGTTTTGAGAGACGGGCCTGACATTAGAAGGGAACAAAAAAAGAAACAGAAGGGATTGAGGGGGAAGAAAAAAACTTACCATTCCTTGATCGGATCCTCCTCGTACCAGTAATCCACATGGCGCAGTTTATTGTGCGGGTCGTACTCAAACCCGACAGCAGCGGTAGGCGCCCATTTGGCATGTTCCTTGGCGATGCCCTTCTTCGCAATACAGGTCATCTTGACCTCCTGCCCACGCCGCAGCTTACAGATCAGGGGTCCCGTGCCGTTGGCGTCACCGACGACAGGGCTGCCGACCCATTCGTTGGCCCGCTCGCCGCTGACGGCCAGATCGCGCGCGTACACGCGCATGATATCTTCGCCTGTACAGCGCGCATGCAGCGTCAGCGTCACGCTACACCGTGCGCAGTGGTTCTCGCAGTCGCAGTCGCGCGTGTACTGGACGTCCTGGTCGCAGTTCTTGGAGTTCAGCGGGATCAGGCCCAGACGATGCGCAAGGAACTCGTCCGGCAGCACGGAGGTGTTCCTTTCGATCTCCACCAGGTCGATGGCCATCGTGGGCACTTCGGCGAGGATGACGCGGCGGAGCGAGTTGGCAAACGCGAGGTCGACGGAGCTGAGTTTGAAGTCGACACGGTTGGGCTCGGCCTAGAGCATAGTCAGACCCCATTCCTTCTTTTTCTTCCCTATTCAAAATCTTTAGAAAAAAAAATATATATATATATATACCTCGCGGACCGTAACCTGAGGCCCCATGGGCTCAATATCCATCTCGTAGTCCATCGTGGGAGGGTGTGGGAGCAGCGACACGCCGCCTGTGTTCGGGCTCGAGATCGAATCACAATATTCGTCAAACTGCTAGAACCAACTCGAGACAGCTTGGCCTATCAGAGAGGTAGTTATTGTAGGGGAAAGAACTGCGGCCGAGAAATAATGGGGAGAGACAGGAAGCGTGGGATCTCCTGCGGTTCAGATCCCTCCATCTTGCGGCCGATCGGGGATTTTGGCGCCTTACCCGATTGAACCACTAGGTACCTGTACCTGTAGTTACCTTCTTACCAGGTCTTCATTCACAAGACACACAATTAGATGGAGTCCAAGATTAAGAATAGGTTACTTGTTGTATTATTATATTTTTTACACTATTACCCATTCAAAAGCTAGTTCTATTGTGTTAAGAGGGTTTCTACCACGAGACCACATATCCATTAAAAAGGATTGCTTGAAAAAAAGGACTTGCCATTCTAGAGGCACGTCTCTATTGATTCTTGCCATGTCAACTCAAGTACAGGTAGAAATACGGAGCACTAGACAGGTGTAAAGATCTTGTTCATGTAGCCTGAAAGCAGCACCTTGCAGAGTCCAAC